TATTAACACAAGGACACCCTGTTTCCCGATGATGGACTCGCATGTGCATTATTACCCTAGGTGCTGGCACGCCAGGCGACCTGCTCTTTTTACTTGGCAGAGGATCGGGGAATCGGAAGTGGAACTGGAAAATGGGACTGGGAAAGGGAAAGGGACAACGACAGGGACAGGGACAGGAGAGCCATTGGCAGCGACGCCGCATCCCGGAGCTGTGTTGCTGCCTTTTCCGCTGATAGCTGCCACTAATGCAACTAATTCGCTTTGATTTGTTTGCCAGGCCGCGTCGCATTGTCACGAAGTGTTTCCCGTTTCCTTTCCAACTTTTCCGGAGGCATCGGATCCCATCCGGTGGCCAGTAGCCAGTTACCCGGTATCCGGCGTCGGGCGCCGTTCACCGTTAACATTTACCGCTCGCTTCAAGCCGAAAATACCACTCCGCCGGAATCGTACACTGGGAAAAAAATATCACGTACTATCTATTGCACATAAGGCTCTATTATAATCAATACAAAGTGAGGCCTATAGTCGAAACTTATTGGGTACAAAAGGAGAAAGCATTTTACTTAAATAAATTTTCTTGTAATTAAAATTTGAAAAATAACTAGAAGAAGTTTATAATTATTCGAATTCCACTAAAGCATCTTATTGACAATTATAACCAATCAGTTTTCTCCAAGTGTACGGATAAACAAGATAATCGCAGTGTGCCAGTTGAACTCGAACTTGGTTCAAATCGATTCCCGGAAATAAGCAGGCCCTGATATTTCAGTTCTATTCGGCCCCCTACACACACTAGACACACCCAGCACAGCCACAAAAATCCCCATCCAAAACCCAAACACTCATTTACACCCTTTTGCAACTCTTTACATAACACATGAATACATGAAAAGGGAATATTCCATTCCAAACCGGAGACAAATTCAGCACAAAGCTCGTCCACCAATAGTCTCAGTCCTCATCACAACCACGCATCGGTACATCCACACAACCAACCGAAGGTCAGGAGAAAATCCTGAGATCGTTGGATCTTCGGAAAAGCCGAACATCGCTCCAGAAATGCAGAAGGGCGTCAAGGACAAGGAGAACCGGAATGTGTCAATGGGTCCGGAGATCTGCGAGTTCCACCAGCAGCAGCCGCAATCCAAACAGAACGAAGGTGAGTCAAAGTCTCTTAACTCTTTGCAATTGGTATTATTATGAGTAGCAAGAAAGATTACTGTTCATACCCTATTTTTTGTAAAGTAGTATAGAAATGCCCTAGTTTATAATCTATTTACGTAGCAGAAAAAACTTACTATAATATTTATATCCATTTATTTAAAACATCTTAAATAATTATATTCTTCATATGAAATAATTAGAATTACCAAATAATTGTGTTTGTAACGCTTGCTTGTAAATTCTATAACATTGATGATCTTAAAGCAGCTGTATCTTTAAAACACTCAATATAAAATATTAATAATAATTCAATTGATGATAATTTTCAATATACATATACCTGAAATCCATTACCCTAGCAAACGTTATATATCTTAAATCGAACATTTTTCTTCGGTCTTGGGTTAAAAGTGGGTTCCTTTTAAAATATCTTAGTGGGAAAAAAGATGTATTGATTGGTTTTGAGCTGCAAACTAAAGAACAATAGATCGTGGGGCAAACAGCGCTATTAATTACATATTTCTCCAGAAGTAAATAATATAATCAATTAAGGGAACCCATCGAAAAACGCTTGAAATAAATCAAAGCTCCGCTCACCTGCCCATAACGTTCACTTTGCCGCCGTAGTTTTGGCTTATACATAGCCTGGCATTTGACGTACCTGACGCCTGACGTCCACCGTAAATAGTTGCAAAATTGTTTCTTTTTTCGGTGCCGTCGTCTATTTTCGTCTTGGCTCTAAATGCATATCAATAACGGAGAAAACGGAGCACTTGCCCCTCTATTTTGGCTCCTGTCACTGTCTTTTACTTGGACTGCTCGCAAAAAAGGGGGCGCCCCCGGAAGTACGAAAATACCAAAGGGTGCGGGAGGGGTAGTGGTAGGGGCACGGACGGATAGTCTTCACTGTACTGCGGGCGGCCGCAGCCAAAAATGCAAAAATAAAAATATATACTACACGAAACCATTGAGCAAACACACAACAAAGAATGTATATCAAAAAAGAACAAAGGAGACGCAACCAATTGGTGAAGCGAAATGACATGCAAGCGACGCAAGGCTTTAGGGGGTTAAGGATCGGGGGTTAAGGATCGGGAGGGGGCGGAGGCGCCACCGGGTGTTGCAGCAAGTGTTGGACTCGGGTTTGGGTTACCGTTACCCCATGGGCCTAATGACGCATTGCAGACAAAAACGATACGACGCCTCGTGGCAATATCCGGCGGATATGACTTGAGCGATGTGGTGGGAAACGGCATACCCTGATTATTTTGGCGATTATTAATCGATACTTGGCAATCAAGGATTATCTTTTACGATTACTGATTGCTATGGCGCAATGGTTTCTTTTCGTGACTATTGTCAATATTGTTCCATAGAAAATATAGTGTTGATATTAATGGTGGTTGTTGTTCATCGATGAAGAGAATATTTCTGTAATTAGTAGTCGATCGTTAACTATCAAACATTTTTTCTTTACGATAAAGGATAAGTTACTTCTTTTACTACATTACTATATCAGTGATACTTTTTCTGTACGGATGGGATAAGATTATTAATCGATTTTCGAAAATCCAATATCTTAAACCATAGAAAAAAAGATTTTAAATAAATTTAAGTTATTCTTTTAAAACTTTAATCGCAGCCAATGCTGTCGAGTGTTAAATCAGTTCATTTTTATTAAAGTATTGTTGCCGCAAAATGGGTTAATCAGCCGACACGGATCTGTTCCACATTTTGAAAGCTTTTCCCTTGCGTGGCGCCACCGCCAAGTCATTGAGATTGAGCCGCCCGTAAGGACCTCTTCTCTAAGGACGTCCCGCCGCTGCCAGGGCGCTGTCAAATGCCAATAAGCCGACATCGTTTCCATCTCCGACAAAAACAACCAAGCTAAAGCTGAAAAATTGGTGCCAAGCGGGCCATGCAAAACACACAAAGAACGGGAGGGGGGATGGAGAGAGGAGACTAAGAATGGGATACCGGTGTATTGTCAAATCAGCTATTTTTATCGCACTTTTGGCTTTTTCAAGATAGATTTTGGCTAGCATTTAGAAACGGATCTTTTCGGCTTTGTTTTCTTTTAATTTGTAAAATATTTTTTTAGTTTAAATGATATTTTGTAGGGGTAATAATGATATAACAATCTTTAAATATGCTCAAAATTATTCGTTTTAATCTTCTTTCTTATTTATTTCCGTGTAGTGAACAGTTTATTTCAGCTTGTACTTTGTAAAATGCTCATTTCGAAATTGCGGCAATCTGTCATCGCCAAACGAAATCCATGTGCCAAAAATTTTCGAAAGTCAAATAAAACATAAATGTCAAGCTTTTAAATGAAACGGTTGTGATGAATGGATGCAATAATATTAAAATATTGACACTATGCAATAGGTTAAATAACAGAAGTATAAATGGTGTTTCTATGTCATACAACAACAGAAGATTACTCATGATTAAAAAGGTACATATTTTGCCCTGAAAAAGTTTACAAGGTTTTCAATAAAGAGCCCTTCTTAATTGCCTTTATAAATATATTTACTTAAAAATCGTCAGCACTGATGGAAATCGCTCACGCGCCAAAAAGTAGGCAGCACAAAAATGGGTGGAAAGGGGCGCAAGCTTTCAATGGAGGGGGAGCACGGGGAAACCATATAGGCATTTGTCCTGGCTCAAACGGGATTTAGTAAGCATATTTTTATTATATATTTTAAAATTTCAAAAAAAAAAAAGACCCACCCAGGCAATATGGATGAGGGCCAGGACTTTGCTGCGCTGTTTATAGTCCATGTCGTGCGCAATTTATGTTAATCATAGCGGAGTTTCAAAGGGATGTGGGGTGAAGGGGTTACAGGGGTTACCCCCTTAGCCGCCCATTGTCCCGTCCCCTACCTCCTCTGCCACGTGTAGTAGGCCTACAACAAAATAACGAAAAACTATTTTGTTGTTGTTGTTGTTTTTCTGTGTTTTCTTTTAATACTCTAGTAAAAGGGTAATTATATTTATGGTTTAAGATGCGGCAACGCAATGAAAGACCAGTAACTAATAAATGTTTTTGATAAAAATATTTAGAAAATAAAATATATTAAATGACATGTTTTTACAAATATTACCCATACGCCATGTAAGCCATATGGAAATATTGTCAATCTTTCTTTTTTTAATTCATGTAAATATATAATATCGAATAAAATATTTTTAAAATGTCACTTATGACTACTTAGCCATCCTTTAAATAGCGTAAAGACAACACTGCGTATGGGTTACATACTGAAGAAAATAAAGCTTGGCAAATTGTTTTATATTTTGCGGTGCAAAAATCGCAAATATCGTCCAAGTCACGTTAGGATGCAGATGTGTTTAATTTAACTGATAAATATGAAACTTTGCCGTATCTACCCGAAGCCAAAGTCAAACACCTTTGTTTTTCTTAAGATCGATCCGAAAATTGGCCAATTGGTGTACTATGTGCAGACAAACTATCATAAGATGTTTGAGGGTATATCTTCATCGGTCTTTGGAATCGAGACTTCAATTTGTTTTTGTATTGTTGTTTTTTGTCGGTGCCTTGCACAAAGGCAACGCCGTGGCAGCAACAATTTTAATGCCGTGGTTTACTGTGATTCGCAATTTCGCCAAAGGCAGCGACGTCGACGCCGGCGGAGGCCACCATTGTCGTCCGCGTTGGTTTTACAGCTCCAGCTCAGTCAGCAGTTGCGCTAGCAGCTGAGCTGAGCGAAGAAGAGAGCGACTGGAGATCGAGATAGACCATTAGTTAGGCTGGACGGGCACGCGCGTGTTCTTCTGTCCACGGGATAAATAGTGTCTTCTTTTTTGTTCGAGTGTACCCCATTAAAATGGCGGAGAGAGATAGGGAGGAGTTGTCCGCCTCTTTCAGCCGCCTCCTGAGAACCTTGAGCTCGGCTTCGATGAGCAGACGACCCCTCTGTCCACCCCTCTCCCTCCTGCATCCTTTGCCCGTTCACCAGAATGAGATGGAAAGCACTGAGAGCACGGAAAGATGCTGCAGCAGCTGCAGCGACGAAAGCAATAACAATGGCGAAGAGAGGGAAACGGAACCAGGGGAGCTGGAATCCAAAGAGGAGGGCGGAGAGGGAGAACAAGATGAGCTGGAGCTCAAAAGAGACAGCACCGTTAATGTGAATGTGGTGAGAGCCAACTTCAAATGCAATGACATGGAATGCTCTCTAGTTCTCGGCGACTACGTAAATGGTGAGTCCCGTTAAACTCTCAATCCCCCAACACACAAAAAAAACATTCAATTTGATATTCAATTAAAGTACTTTTCATATCAATACACAGCAGTGAGATTTGAACCTAAACCATGCAAATGTGTTCATTGCGATTTGACATTATAAATAATTTGATATAAAGCTATGTATGTATTTGTTTCTGTGCATCCACTTTTTTCCTTCTTATCCCCCCACATCCACTCAAGATGTTTACTTAAGTGCTGTCGACAGATTATGGAGATTCAATTTGATGTGTTAGCAAAAAAAAAATGGAACAAAGGAAATAACTTAGGAAGCTTAAGCACGAAACAGAGCTTGGGTTACCCCTAAAAACACCCTTAAAATTTTTGTGATGCCTAATTGTAACCAAACTTATAAATTTTTCTACAGGGGTATATAGACAACAAAAACAATCAAGGGTACATATTTTTATTTCCAAATAATTTATATTTTTTCAAAGGGGCCCTTGATTTTGCAGTTTATTACTCATACGCTGTGTTGGCGGTTCCAAAAACGTTTGTTATTTAAAAGCTGTTGACACATCATTTTCTTAATACATTGTCAGGAACTTCATTTTACTTAAAACAGTTCACAATTTGGCAGAAAAATTTAATTTTTCATTAATCTTGTACTCCGGTCGTATAAGTAATTTTTGTGAAAACTTTGGAACTGTAAAAACTTTGGACCCTAAAAACTCATTTTTTATCCCTCAATGTTTTTTTTTTTATAAATTCCAGCTGTTGATACTGAACAAGTTTTTTTATATTAAAGGGTAGAACATGTCTCCGCCATTAAATATAAAAACATATAAAAGACTTTCAGAAAATAACAACTGACTCACCACTCTCCCTTGAGCTCTCACATCAAAAGAATCATACACAATCTGCTGATATCCATCGGGAATATTATTCAGCAAGTTCATAATTCGCTTTTCACTTCCAATTCACGTACATCGTTTATCTCTGTCACAATTATTATACAGCTTCGAAATGCGGATTCGGTTGATTTTATTATTTGTGTGAACAAAAACACACATGTCAGCCGTTGCCAAAATATGGCAAGCAAAAATTTTTAATTGCAATTTGTTAATTTGCCCAAAGCAGTCAGCAAAAAAAGCGTTACTGTAACTATCGGCTGAGAAGAACTTTTAAAGTGACACAAATAATGTACATAGTTTAATGTATAATATTTTATATGAATGAGATAAATTGTGGTTTTGCTAAATTCCAATGGTATTGAATTTGTCATAGGTCCCTGTCCCCTATTAATAGATTAAGAAGAATATTAGTCAGTGCATTTGATATTTAATTTGTCATAATTCCCCTATTAATAAATTAAAAAGAATACTTAGTCAGTTCCTTTTTATGTATGTTAAGTAACATTTTACAAAGCAAAATGTTAATAACATCTGAAAGGTTTTTTAAAACCGTTCCATGTATTAACTTATCACTTTAAGAATAAATAACCTTTAAAAAACACTAGTTAGTATTAAATTTAAAATTTCCAGATAATCAAAATATAATTGTGGCTTTGAGATCCAATTTGTTAAGTGGTTTATTCATTGATCACTGTGGATACGAAAAGTGAGGCAAAGTTCTTGGCGGACAAATCGGGGAATGGGGTGGCGAAAGCTAATCGCTGGCACAATTCGATGATTGACGAGGGCCAAGCGGTGCAGGGTGGCGAGGAGTGCGGGAAGAAGGAGGGGGACAGCATGCGTTTACGGTTCGGTTAGAGAGTCTTCTTTTCGCCTTGGCAGTCACGGCGTCTTGCCAAAATAGAAAACACATAAATTGCACGATCAAGATCATTGCTGTTGCCTCTGTCGCTGCTGCTGCTTCTTTATTCTGATATACCCTTGCAGAGGGTAGATTATTACATTTTTCAATCATATTATTGTGTACCTTTTCTATTTCTCTAGTCTAGTCTAAATACAGAAATATTTTTATTTAATAAAATTAACATTTAACTAAAACGGGTTTAGCATTATACGAGCTTAGGCTGTAGTTGTTGTCAGTGCCGAAGCAAAGATTTGTTGGGTAAGGGGTTTTTACCTAACCCTACAGATGATATATGTAGTAGACTAAATGTTTTTTTTTTGAGTTTTGAGACATTTTTATAAGGATCGGTTTCAGCAGAAGGATCAGAACGGTCGGGACAAAAGTTCTGTTTTCTTTGAAAAATTTAACTCGATGATTTTTGGTAATGGTGATATAAAAAGAATCGGTAAAATAGAAGGGTGTAGACAATTCAGCTTTTTTTTCCATATTTTGTTGTTCTTCTGCTTGTTCTTGCTTTTCAGCCACTTCGATGACATAATCCAATAGGCAGAAAAATAGGGATAAATAAAGAAGGAGGAGGAGAAACAGAAAGAGAAGAAGGGAGGACGATAGAGAGTGAATGATTAAAAGTTTATGCTTTCATTTGCTCTCTCTCTCGTGTCGCTCTTTGACACCTGTTCGTTTTATGTCCGCGTAGCCAGCTGACAGCTGCTGCTTCTTCTCTTCTCTTCCCAAAAAAGTTTCCCACGGTTCTCCCCCACCCCTGTGCATCCCCACCCCCCTCACATATTCTACTGCCACCGAGGGAGCGACTTTGACAAATTTGTTTGGCATCGAGGCTTTGCTTTGATTTGTTTTCCTTTTCTTTATTTGTAGCGACTGTTTTTTTGTTGTTTCTGTCTATTAGAAAAAACAACTGATCATCAGGGACTAAGTGGCTAAATTGTTTGTCCAAAACAAAAATATAGGGCATTAGTTGAAATAGAAATGGGAGAGCCAATCCTTTACCATCAGAATTATTTTACTTCTAGATTTTTGCTTAGGATTATATTACAGAGATTTTTGTCACAATCGGTAGCCTAAAAACAAAAAGAACATTATACGTTTGACTAGATAAAGAAATAATTGTTCGTGGTATCAGTTTATGTTAAATGTTATGTGAGTTTATTATAAATGTTACACCGATCTCAACCTTTTCATAATACAATTATATCGAGATTTACAAACTATACAGACTATATGGCGTTCGGTGCAAACGTGACCTGGAGATATCCGTATCTGTGATTCGCTCCACCTTCGGCAAACATTTGTTGCTCGTTAGAATATGCACAAAAATTCCACGAACCGTGTTTGTTACGGAGTGTTTTTTTTTCCTTATTCTTTTTTTTTGGCGTATCCAAGGCTGGTTGCCTTTGGCTTTGGCTTTGTTTGAGCCATCGAATCGAATTCATGTTCACGGCATGCCATGGATGGATTGGATGGATGGATGGGATGGCGGGCTCATAGATATGTACGGGGTGTGCTGGGGATGTATGGGTATGTGTAGAATGCCAGGACTACCTTGCACTTCCTTGGAACATTAGACAAAACGAGGACCGACAGAATGGGAGAGAGCGAGCGAGCGAGCTGGCGAGCCTTTGTTTATTTGTTTATAACAGTCGCAGTGGAAATTCGAGTTGGCTCACAACGGCTCGAATCATTGACTGCGGCTCAGTTCGGGGAAATCAGTGGTTATCATTTGTCGACGCAATGCGAATCGAGCCGCAGAGAAACAAAAACGCAGAAAAAATCATAGAGTCGTAGAGTTGTAATCGGTGTGGGAACGATATAAATAATGCCGCACATAGCGGATTTTTTTTGCGATTGCATAAGGACCTGCAAGGGATATATCCGAGTGGTTTGCATTTTTTCAATGTGTGTCAAAATCGAGTGAAGCGAGTGAAATCAATCAGCAATTTGTGCTCCCATTTAAATCCATTCTACCACACATATCTACCGCTAACCCCGCAACGGTCTTCCTTTTGGTCTTCCTGTCATAATGCCGTAAGCATCGAAATACTATATACCATGGATTTTGGAGGCGGTCGCGTGCAGTTCCTGCAGGCCCAGCTCTTTCCCGTCTGCACGCTGACCACGTCAAGTGGAGGTAATTGTTCGAATTATTTAACAATATACCACATACACTAGGAAAGAAGTTAGTGCTATGCACTTTATTGAGAAACATCTTAAAAGAGTAAAAGAGTGCGTCTACTTAGTCCCAAAATATTTTTTTAACTTTGTACAATCCTAACATATCCCCGTTACATGAATATCTTCGTTTATGCTCTGAGTCATAGCTCGTACATCAAATTTTACACAAACAATTTTGAATTCAAATAATAAAAAAGATTCTGTTCCATTCAGCTAAAAATCTATTATAAAATAGTTGATATATACCAAAACAAAATTATACCAAGTGTTTATAAAATTATTATTTAGCCCTAGTTTTATCGCCGTTGTACTATAAAGTCACACATCTTTCATCAGAAACTATAAAATCAAAGTCTAGTAATTATATTATATTTTTTTACTCACTTTCAATTTGTTGTTAGTGTGTTGTTAATGTTGTACGAATAGATTGTCTAAGGGCACCTCGGTGTTGTTGTTCGTTAAGTTGTTGCTGTTACTGGTAGTTCACTGTACTACATGGGCAGCATGGGGAATTTGTTGAATGTGGGGCTTTTATCGCCCGCCCGTTAGAAAGTTTCGTTGTAAGTCGTTGTTCGATTGGATCCTTTCTTTTACCCTCCGTTTGTAGCCGCTTTTATTGTCCTCACCTCTTGGCCCACCTGCAATCGGATAAAGTGCGGATAAATGGGAATTAGAATTAGCCGCAAAACTGTTTGATTTTAGTTGCCACTTACGGCTGTCATGACAACGGCAACACAAAATCATTAACACAGAAATTCCGGAATCGCAACTCGGAAATCAAAGTCGTTGCCTGTTGTTGTCAACGTCGGCCAAGAAAGTATGTATGTATATATAATAGGGAAATAAATAGGAGGTATTTAAACTCATTTCAGTTCATTGAATTGCGATTAACGATGTTTCACCTGCATAAATCAAAGCCAGAGGCCCCTAGCCCCAAAAATTTGGAGGCAGTAAACTCATTAATGTTCATTGACTTGGGGGCCCTCGACTATTGCATTATTTCTAGCGTGGAATTTCGCTCGGTTGGGATCTCCGTGGTTCGGGTCTGATGGCTATATCAATCGCATACAGACCGAAGCGCCGCAGGTGGATTGGAAGAATCGAAGGTGGAGGCGATTTGGGGAGTCCCCTAACCGGTGATTTTGAACAAAGGAGCGCAATTAAATGTATTTGGGTTAATATTCTTGACTTGTGGGGCATCCAAAGGATGCGAGGATAATTAATTAGTAGGCCCTGCAAACTACGAAAGCGGTTAGGTTCCTATTAGGATACCTTTATAATCTACTTCTAGAGTTCCAATTGGCTTGTTGTATATTATTACTGCTTATATAGGTTATATTTTGTACATTTTTTATGAAAAAATTATATTATTAGCTGTGAAAGGAACTTTTCTAACGAAATCAACAATAGCGTTTGACCATAAAAATACTTTTTAAGGCTTTTTGTTATCACTTAAAACGACACATAGAGGAAAACTATCCATTCAAGGTTGAATTTTTTTTACAATATTTTTTTTAAGGATACAACTTTATTGAAATTTTATAACGAATTCAACGATGTATGACATTTGAAACGAACACTATTTCCCCAGGTTTTGATTAAAAATCCGAAAAATCGAGCTGATTTTTGTTTAAATATTTTATATTTAAATGTTTTTAAAATTATTGAAATGTTGTAAATCATTTTTGTATCCTTCTTGAAAAGAAAGTCAAAACCGATATACCTTAAGCCAGGGCTTTTATTGGACGATCTAGGGCAATGCCATAAAAGCGTCTGGAGAAATGAATAACAATGAAATGTAACAGAAAATTTTTGAACAAATTTAATGAGAATGCAATTTGCAAACTCACAAAAGAAAAACAAAGATGGCATAGGCGAACAAGCAAGAAAAAATGCTGAATAAAAATTGTGAAATATTGTGGGGTGGCAAAAATATTGCGCTTCGCGGATCTTTTTGTTGGCGGTTTCGGTCCGGCCTCAAAGGCATTGGCCGAATGCCTGCGATTGGGATAAACAAAATGCCATAAATATTACGAATAATAATACAATTTAAGTAAATAATATGCAAAGGCTGCAATTAGAGGCGATCGGTCTGCAGATCTCTGGCTCTCGATTGCTGCCTGCATTTGAGCATAAAAATTTAATTAACGCCAAATTCCTGCTGTCGCCATCGGCAGCAACACAAGCGTTGGCGCAACAATTGAAAACAGAGAGAGCTTTCTACTTTCAATCCCTTTCTCCTGCTCTCCCCTTTCTCTTTTTAGCTTTGTTATGAATGAACGCAAAATGTTTGCCCTTGTCCATTTGGCCAAACCAAATCCGTGCCCATGCAGTCAAAGGAAAAAGAAATGCAAACTTGCAATTATAATTTAACAAATTAACTCAAATTGAAGAATCGTTTTTTGTTTGAAATAATTTAATAAAGCTAAAATTAGAAACCAAGAAAACTCATTATAATCATTGCAAATCTTAGGAGCGTTTGTGTTGACTTTTATTGTTATATGTGTATTATATGAATTTTCCAACTAATGAACAAGACTGTTAATGCATTTTAACCTTATGTCCTCTACACAAGGTAGTAAAAATGCAACATTGATTTTAAAAAGGGTTTTAAAAAAAAAGTCAATTTAAAAGCTCAACAATTTGCGGTCTAAAAGCAGCAAACAGAGCACATCTAAAATCAACAGTAATAAAAAACATTACACGTGCAGGGGGTTGCATAGGGTGAAAAGTCAAGGTCGCCGATTGAGCTTTGTCATTCCACTTAAACTGAAGTGGCTGAGTGTGTGGTGTGAGTTTCTGGCGGACTCAAGGATATGCGACTTCAATTGAGATAATATATTATTTTTTATTTATTTTCCAATAAATTGAAACATAGTTTGTATTATTTTGACTAGTTAAAAACTATTAAAAAAACTCTAAATTTCCTACTTTGTATAAAATGTAGGTAATATGAAACAATCATATTTCCATTTATGTATATTTTTATGTATATTTCCAAATTGATTTGCATATACTTGATAACTTTGTTAGTTGTTACAATTGTATACATAATCGCAATTTGTTTTTCTTATTATTTCATACTTTTTAATAGGCTCTAAAAGTGATCATTCTAGGGTTAATGCGTTTAGTCTAAGGACATTGCATATGTACATATGTATTTTGAAGATCACCCACGCACAGGACTCCTTCGCTTTCTCGCACACACATCACACTAGTAAATCAGCTGTAAAAGGGGAACTTTAGACCAAAGCTCCTTCAAACAATAACAATGGCAGCAAGACAGACGCCCACACACACACGCAGGATAATGGTGCAGGCAGAACAGCTGGCCGCGAAGCTTGCGTCGGCAGCGAAAGTGCAAAAGCTCTCTCTTACTCTCTTTTCACCTCCTCCCACCACATTTCGCTGGGATTCCTCCTCCTGCTCTTTCGCATTAAATAATATTCGCAGGCAGCAACGCCGACAGCGACGTCGCCTGCGATGCGGCAGAGCTGAGCATTCCACATTCGTTGGGGTTTGGCTTTCCTTTCTGTTTTAGTCAAAAACAAATCGCGCAACGGCAAACGACAAACAGTCGAAATCCTATAACAAAATCAAAATAAAAACTGAATCACAATTAAAAAAAAAAAAACCAGAAACTCCAAACTTGTAATTTCGAAACCAAAGTTCAAAAACATTTCGATTCCCCGAATATTTGAAAAGTGTGCCGCCATATATCGGTTCTGTATATATCAGTTTTCTATTGCCAATATTTTTTTAGAATAATTTTTTTTTATTTTTTCTGTTTGTTCGAGTGCCACAAATTTTGAACATCGTTTGTCGAAAACGAAATAATTAAAACAAAAAAACAAAATCGGCAACAAAAATTCAGCTAATACGAACAGCTGTGCGGGTTGCTTGCCCCCCTCTTTCACATCCCACCGCCCTCCACCCACCAACTTTAGCGTCTTCCTCTGTTTTTGTTTCGCTTTTTTCGCCCGTGTTTTTGTGCGTTTTCGAGATCGTTTGGAGGAGTGAGTTCTGAATTCTGTGCCGGTAAGAATATTTCTTGGGATTTCTTGTGGGTTACACAGAGCGAAATGCACATAAAATGTTATCCATAGTTTAGATTATCTTAGCTAAATGTATAAACCCACTACTAAATGATATGATGCATATCAAAATTTTTTTGTGTGTCCTTTCTTTCTAAGATATAAGAATTTCAATTTTAATTATTGTATATCAAAACAAACCGAATGTGACATTTTTAATATAAAATCATTTTTGTTCACATGCTTATATTTAAATCCTATATGCTTGGATTTTATAAAAGGTCTTATCTGTAATACATATATTATCTGTAATTTATATTATCAGCCTATATAATATAACTTTCTATAAAATAGTAATTCAAAAAAAATTTAAATGGAAGAAAAAATAAGCCAAAATTTCAATTTTCCGCAGTGCATTTGCATAGATCCATTCAAAATGAGCCATGAACAATTTGACATACTTGTGCTCGAGTGTTTCTACTGCAAAATCAACTGAATAATCCCCGCGACAGCTTCCCAGAAGATCCCCAACAGAACTCTTGAAAATGTTTAGACAAGAAGTGTGAGCATTATGGACAAGCGATTAATTTTGAAAAACATGTTTTGCCTTATATTTTAAATCCAACAACAGAGAGTTTAAGGAACTGCATTTCTGTTAATAATAAATTTGTTGATATAAAAGTACATATCTTATTAAATTCTATTTTCTTTGTTCAAAATCTTTCTTTGCCATTTCTTTGTAGCATTTTTAAGTTTCTTTGTATTCCATTCCTTTTCCTAACAATTTAATTTATGAGTTATTCTTTATTCTGATGCAGAAAAAGCCAGTATATTTACAAAATATGTACATATACATTTAATGGCCTTTCGTTGAGCTTAATTTTAACGCGAACATAAGCCACATCCAAATCCATTAAAAATCCCCGCGGGACATAAACATTAAAAGTAAAAAAGCCGAAAATTATTAGCGATATTAATCGACTTGACAGGATCTAAATGGTTGGTTGCTGCGGGAAAACTTTTTCGCTGGAAGCCCCCAAAGATTTACAGTTGCCAGACATTAGCCCACCCCATTTTCCGCCTTTCCAGCGAAAAATTGCAATAAAAGAAGCCAATGAGGAGCACAATAACATGAAGAGAACAAAAACAAAATCTGCTTTTATGTGCTCATAAAAACCGACTAAGCAGACACACAAGAAAGAAACCAAAAATTAATTAACAAAATATGTTGCACTGGCTGGCAAACAAATATCAAAAAGAAAGAAGCTCCAAAGAGCGGAATGAAAACGGAAAATCTTTTTTGCACACACAAAAACTTTACTTCAAGAAATCGTTGGGAGCCCCCCACACATATGGCAATTAATTGTTGTTGACAAAAGTCGCCAAGCGCTGCTTATTTAGGCCAAATTAATGACGATTTGCGCCTACCGTCTAAACTTTTTGCCGCTGGAGGAGAAGACAACTTTTTGGCACGACAAATGTTTATATAATTGCTGACCCACTGCAACACCACCCCCTCACTCAAAAAAATTCAAACACACAGGCTGTGACTTGAACATCATCTCAGTCGATATTCTATATATTTCACATCTCACATGTGTTGTAAACAATTCATTTTTAAATTGAGAATATTTTTATTTTGGCTATTCAAGTTCGCAAAATTGTACAATATAAGTGTAGACACGCGATTGGCGATACCTGGGCTACGATCATACATTTGACAAATTAAGAAACTCCTAGTGTTCTTATCCTCAAAAAAAAGGCAATAAACTGTTTAAAAGGTATGGACAGGGTTAATTCGAAGGATCCTGATTAAGATCAACGCTTATTTCTTAGTACAATTCATAAGTCTGACCCTTTCAAATTACAAGTTCTTATCAATCGTACCACCTAATAAATATTTTAAAACAATTTAAAATATAACTAAAAACAATAAAATATTTGTTTCTATTCATGAATAAATTAATACTCTGAAAGAAACCAGAAACAGACTTTCTCACTTAATTGAAAATAAGTAAATTGTTATTATAACAGGCATTTTCGGCAGTTTTTTTATTAAAACCAACGAATCCTTTTGTTAATTCTTTGACATCCTATTTTGCAGGCTTCCTTGGCAGTTTCCTATCGAAGGGCCTGAAGACCAATCAGCTGGTTGTGAATACGGATGAAAAGACCCTGCGACCGGTTGCACGTCTGAAGGAACCGCGCGATCTCTTCGCCCTGCCGAAGGACAAGGACAATGACTGCTCACAGCAGGCCCCCAGATGGCCGGTGGAATGCCAGGTGAGTGAGTTGGCAAAGGAAGAATCCCTGTACCCCAATCCCAGTCTCAACCCCAATCAATTCGCCCATCGAAGGACGAGGACGAGTTTAAGGCCGAGCTGTCCTAGATTTGTGCCGAGGATGGGGGATAAGCTTCAATGCCTTTGACACGCACCTTGTCTGCCAGGATATCCATCCCAGGACATGCGTGCCGCGCCTCATAAATATTAATGCACATAAAAAAAACTCAGATGGCAGAGGGTTAATGGGGTGAAGGCTTTTAAAAGGAGCAGCCACAAATCCAAGGAAACTACAGACCAACTTCACTAGGTCGAACATTTTTCAATTTGAAACCAAATTGTCTGGAACAATTTGAGCTTGATTTATTTATTGTTTTCAACAATCCAAAATCTTGAGAAGCAATCTTTACAAAATGTAATTTGATACTAAGGTTTAGAAGTAATAATTGTCTGACGATAGTAGTTTAAAACAAAGAATACAGATATTATTAGAAATTGTAAATTGTTTGTCAATTAAGGTTTTTTGACATGTGATAGTTTTACTTAGGGACGTAGGACTGTAGTGCCCCTCAACCATCTTGGTTTTATGTAGGTCAAATTGCAATAAAAGGTGCACACACTAGGCCACGCCCACCGCCGCCCCCGCTTAACCCATGGCATGCGGTAAACGCTCGCCAAGTGCAATGAAAATCCTTTCGTTTCCGCTTTGAGATTTTATTTATTTGGCCTTTTTAGCTTGTTTTTTTTTTTTTTTTTGCCTAATTGTTGGCCAAGTCGTTAGCATTGTTAACAATCGATTTTATTTATTTGTACTCGATTTGCATTCGGTGCGCTGCCAAATTGTGTTGGGCAAATATTACACATTACACATACGCCCCGTCTACCGCTGAATGAGAGCGATTTATGGGGACGGTTAGAGGGGGGATTTCAGGGGGTTTTCGGGTTTCAGGCGGTTTTCAGGGGGTTTCGGTAGGAAGAGTTCTGCCAGGGGTCAAGCAACAAATTGGCCAACTGATTGATTAAACAGGCGGCCAAAGGGGGAGGTTTGCAATGAATCAATTGGAGGTCAATTGTTGAGCAATTTGTGGCGCAATTCGAATAAATAGTAAAAACAAAGGAACCCCAACATTTCCTTGTCAGTTAACATGGCTTTACATACGTAGGAAACATAAAAATAATAATGTCCAGTATTTCTATTCAGAAAGGCGAACCATTGATTTAAATTTATATTTGGAAATTTAATTTTATATAATATTGAATGTATAAAAAGATAACATTACTTATGGATATAATTTTTCCCAAAATAGATTTCCATATAATATTAAACCTCAGAAAACAAGGTTTTGAATAAGTAAACCTAAAAACAGGTGAAATGCTAATAATTGTATTTCAAAACCCATACTCACCACATTAGCTTTCGTTATCCTGTTCGCTCTTCACCTTCGCCGTTTTACCTTTAATTCGCGTTCTTCTTTTTTTTTACACTCCAGGCACACACGCACACTCGAAAAGTTCGTCAAACTGTAAATGCAATTAAAAGAGCAAAAATAAATAAGAAGTCAAGAAAGCTTTTTGGGAAACGTCTTTGCATTGCCTTCCTTCGCTTTTTTCGCCTTTTGGCCATGATCCGTCCAAAATGCAAACTCAAATAAAAAGTGAAATTCGAAAAAATGCCTTTGGCGTTTATTTGACTTCGCATTGTTGTTTTTCTTGCCACAGTGACAATGGCATTGGCAATGGGCATGAAAAAGTTGGTTTTCGTTTTTTTTTTTTCGCAAATTTTCATTACCAGGAAAATGAGAGGGTCATATACTCTTAGCTGCAAACGACAGCTGAAACCGTAGGGCAAAATAAACAAGCTAATTAGTTAGTTTCATATCGTATATACAATCACAGCATAAATAAATAAAACCGAATAAAGTGAGCAAAAAAACGTAATACACTGGCACACAGCACGCCACATTGCGAGAGAAAGGGACGGGTGTTGTGACTGTAGAAAAAGAGGGGGAATCTTGCAAAAACTGACGCTGATATGTTTCAATTAAGCCATCACACAGACAGACATACAGGCAAATGCCTCCAAATCGTTGTGTATGTGTATATCAGATTTGCATGTTTTATCGTCCTGTTTTCGCACAGTGTCTAAAAAACGATGAAAAACCTTTCGAATTTTTGATAACTGTTATTTTGGAAAACTTGTAAATATATAAACCTTCAAAGGCTTATTAGAGTTTTCTAAAAGTTTTGCAAAAATTGAGCTAAACTTATTCAAGAAAACTTGTAAATATATAAACCTTCAAAGGCTTATTAGAGTTTTCTAAAAGTTTTGCAAAAATTGAGCTAAACTTATTCAAGAATAAATATTTTTATACCAAATGATACTAAATAATGTTCGTTAATTTGTATTGGTGTTTATAACTGAATTGTGAAAAATGTTTAAAAATGCGACCACAATGCGTATGAGTAAGATACCATCACTCATACGTAATGTGGTCGCATTTGAGCCCTGCAAAGTTAAACTGATCTGTTTTTAAGTCAAAATCAAATCAGATCAGTAAAAGTATTAGAAATTAAATAAATTATTTAGTCTGCATGGATATTTCTAGATTGCGCATATTTCTTCTTAAATTTCATTCATTTGGGAACACTTTTCTAACCACTGTGCACGTCTTACATGTGTAAGCATATCAAAAGGCTAAACAAATAAGCTGCTCAAGCTTGTGGGCAGAATTACAACGACGGCAATAGCAACAACAGTAAAGGGACATCAAAGCCTCAACTGAGGACAGGAAAAAAGGAATGGAATACTGGGTTTGATATAGAGGGATGACAAAGAGTGGGCAGCTGAGACCGGGCACAAAGCAAATCGTCATCGGTGACAGGGAATTTAAATGTAATAATACCTCTGACTGACATTCGCCAATTTCCTTGTCAAGGACGAATAAAACGATGAGAACAACCATGGCGAGCAACATCTGTGGCATGGAATCAAAATATCATTGCCTTTAATTAGTGTGTCCTTGAAAAAACAACAGGTGTGCTAGGGTAATTATCGAAATTATATCGATCGGTATTATTTAAATCGATTAACGAAGTGATTTTCCAATCTTAGTAAATAAATATTTCTTTGTAAAATAAACTTAATGGTGAGGTAGGTGTATCAAAGGAATATAAAGAAAGGGGAAATCTCAGAAGGACTTAATCACTTGATTGAGCGATAGGTGTAATTAGTCCATAAAACATTTTTAAGAGAATACAATATTAAAGAAGGCGGAGTTGAAAAACTCGTGGCAAAGTTTCCCCAAATTGATCGAAATGTCATGTTTATTTGATATGTTTGAGTTTGGTGTATTAGCCATGGGAATACTTCTGATTAATTTAAATTTGTCCTATTCCGGTTATTATTCAGGTCATCGAGGAGCGCATCACACACATTCCGTACGTGCCCGCTACGCCGGAGCCGCTTAACGCTCCAACGGGAAACGAGCTGAAGCCACGCCCCGTGGGCGAGGAGAACGGCATCGTCGTGTTCAGCTACAGTCCAATTAGCGCCGTTAACTACGTGAGTACCTTTGGTCTATATGCACGGCCTAAAGTTAGCAGAATCCGCTCCATTTCGATTTGCATTTCAGTAATTGCACATCTAATTAAATCTTTTTAATTCGCTTATTTCATTATTGAATAAAACTTGTGTTTCTAAATATTTCAAAATATTTATTAAAACGTTAGGATTACATTTCTCTTTGTCAAGAAAAAAATTAAAATAAAATTATAAAATGTATATCTATAAATGTACATCGCCAAATTTAAAATTTATTTGCAAATTCTGCATTTAATAACAAATCGAAATCGAATTGATTTACTGTAACTACGGGTATTACTTGCACTCTGCACCTGCACTAATCAAAAAATGGGGGAAGTCAAACCATTAAAATGGGACATATTATCGAGCTAACCAGTTTTTGAGTACATTTGAAAACTAAAAGCAAACTAAAAGCAACGACAAACCAAACAGGAAAAGCCCAAGGCGAAGAAGGAGGAGGATGAGTCCAGTGACGAATCGGACTATTCCTCGGATTCCCGCCAGGACTCTACGCCCCCGAGTAGGGCCACGCCCATGCGTCTGGCGGGGGGCGGTGGGTGTGCCCGTGGCAAGCTGAACAGCGTGTCCAAGATGATCAACAACGTGGATAATCGGTCCACGAGTGCGTCCCTAGACGACAACGATGACTACTACGATGATGAGTACGATACCTCAGGCGGTGGTGGAGGTGGTAGTGGTGAGGCCAAGGAAAAGGCAATCATCAAGGATCTCATCGAGGCGAAGAAGAAACGCTACCAGGAGGAGGCGGCCACGGGCACTCCCGGCGGTGGAACAGCCCGTAACTCGAGGGCACCCAGCCGCTCCGAGGCCAGCAAGGATCCCAGCGATATCGATGATATCTGGAAGAACAACACCAGCGAATACAAGCCCGCCTCGCCCCGCTATGTCCTCAGTCAGTTTGGAAAGAACGTGGCCAAGGCCGTGATCGACAGGATCGTGGATTATGATGATCCCGCGATGGCCAATGGCGCCATCCCGCCATCGGGATCCCAAAAGGTATCGAACAAGTTCGCCATAACCCCCATCAAGTTGCCCAAAACGAATATAGCCCGCTTAGAGGTGGCCTTCGAGCGAAGTGCCCGCCAAGATCGAACCACTGCAGTGGCTCCCAAATCGCATTCCGAACGGGTGATCAAGAGTGTGGCGGTGGTGCATGGTCAGCGTACCGGGGACAGCACGTCCTCCGAGGACACCAGTAGCTCCGGCCTCGGGGAGGAGGAGGAGTATGAGTTCGATTCGGACACGGAGGATTCGGGCAGCGGCGATGCCCTGCGTAGAACCGCAAGAAGCAATTCCGCTCGGCTCGCTGGTGGCGCCGAGAAGCGTCCTTGTCCCGGTTCCGGTTCCGTTTCGGATACCGAAACGCTGGTGGGAGACGAGAGCAGGAGCAGACTGGCCGGCTGTAAGCAAAGTGGGAAGGGGGATTGAGGCTATGGCTCCCTGGTTGAAGCGAATAACTCTACTTAATTTTTAAAGGTTTAGCTTTTTAAGTTATTATTGGTAATTATCCAAACGATTAATGATTATCGCTTCAGCTTGAGAATCAATCATTTTTATACGGACAGTGGATAGAAAGTGATAGCTCTGTTTGGAGGGACTACTTTCCTAACAATTATTAATACAGGTTGCAATTAGGACATAATTATGAGCATAATTATTAATTACATTAAAACTGCTTTAGTGAAGCAACACAAAATTGATAAAGAAAGTAATATGTACCGATAGAAGAACTCAAGTCACAAAATTCTTTATAAATACAAGGATGTAAATCCTTATTACATTACAAGCTTCTGATCATAATTGCTCTAAATATGTAGAAGGTCTTCTTTATACAATATAGAATAGAAATTGAAAATTGGTTTATAATTTCAATCTAATTAGTGCAGAGAATAGCAAATGTCCCCCAAGAGAGCTTTTACTCCGTAGGAACCTCCTTTGTACTTTGATAATCCCTACAATAACCCGATCCCCCAGCCGGTGATCCGCAGCAACAGGCCTACGTGCGGTCGAGAAGCCGCCAGTCGCAAGTGAGGCTGCCGTTCCGGGCGGTACCCCACACCCATGCTGCCACAGTGGCAGCGGCGGCGGCGTCGGCAGCGGCGCTCGCCAGAGGGCGCCACCGCGACAAGGACGGTTGTCTGAGCGGCAAGGACGAATCCTCAAAGGGGGGCTTCTATGATATGTCAATGGGAATGGGAGCGATCACCACTGGCACCTCGATGGGCACCACGCGCACCTCATCTCCGGTCGGGAACAACGTCTTCCGGCTGAGCAAGGATCAGCAGCAACAGCTGCTGCATTCGATGGCCAGCCGGGAGACGACCGACACCCTAAACTCCACAAGTACTAATCAGATGACGACGACGACCACCACCTCGTCGCAATCCTTTCCATGCTCCGATTTTCCCCAAGCGCAGTTCAGCCGATCAGCCGTCGGTGGTGCCCGTTTCGTGACCAATTGCCACCCAATGAATCCCGAGGAGTACGACGGCCTGGAGTTCGAATCGCGCTTCGAGAGCGGCAATCTGGCCAAGGCGGTCCAAATCACGCCCACCTACTATGAGCTCTACCTGCGACCCGATCTCTACACCAGCCGGTCCAAGCAGTGGTTCTACTTCCGGGTCCGGCGCACCAGGCGCAAGATGCTCTACCGCTTCTCGATCGTCAATCTGGTCAAGTCGGACAGCCTATACAACGACGGGATGCAGCCGGTCATGTACTCCACGCTGGGCGCCAAGGACAAGAGTGAGGGCTGGCGAAGATGCGGGGACAATATATGCTACTACCGGAACGACGATGAGTAAGTAGGCTTCACTTGATCGATTAATGGAGTAATGAAATATAAATAATTATACTTTGTGAACGAAACAAATTGATTCCTTGACATCTTAATAAAAAAAAAACACATCGAATACCCAATATTTAATGAAAAGATGGATTTATCTATCGCACTTTCGGATGACCAATATGTTAGAGGTTCCTTTACATGTATTTTTAACTGGCACATCCCTTTTTCCACCAGGAGTGCCAGCAATAGCGCAAACGAGGACGACGAGGACAACTCGACGTACACGCTGACCTTCACCATCGAGTTCGAGCAAGATGATGATACCGTGTTCTTCGCACACAGCTACCCGTACACCTACAGCGACCTGCAGGACTACCTCATGGAGATCCAGCGCCATCCGGTCAAGTCGAAGTTCTGCAAGCTGCGCCTGCTGTGCCGCACTTTGGCGGGCAACAATGTCTACTATCTGACGGTGACGGCACCCTCCTCCAACGAGGAGAACATGCGTGTGAGTTGAACCCTATTATCCTAATCCCATGTCAATTGATCTACATCATATCGATCTATATTGTGATTCAAGCAAAAATCAAAAATCATCAAAGTAATAATATTTTCAATTCAAAATGTAGCGAAAAAAATCGATCGTAGTATCGGCGCGAGTGCATCCCAGTGAGACACCTGCTTCGTGGATGATGAAGGGTCTGATGGACTTCATCACGGGTGATACAACGGTGGCCAAGCGGCTGCGGCACAAGTTCATTTTCAAGCTAGTGCCGATGCTGAATCCGGACGGAGTCATTGTGGGCAACACTCGGAACTCGCTGACCGGCAAGGACCTCAACCGCCAGTACCGCACAGTCATCCGCGAGACATATCCATCCATTTGGTATACCAAAGCCATGATTAGAAGGTGAGTGTTATAATTCACAAAGGAAAGTGTTCAATGTTCAATCTGTGTAATTATTTTTAAATGGCCAACCTCTATCAACAGTTGATGGCACAATCAGATTGCTCCTTATCCCATAATATTTATAAATTCTATATAATTATTACAATTTTGGTATTAAATAGACTGATTGAGGAATGCGGCGTGGCCATGTACTGTGATATGCACGCTCACTCACGCAAGCACAACATATTCATATATGGCTGTGAGAACAAACGCAACCCGGAGAAGAAGCTCACCGAGCAGGTCTTTCCGCTGATGCTGCATAAGAACAGTGCGGATAGGGTAAGTTTCTCCAAATTAATACTGACCCTTTGGTCATCACTTAAATACGATCTTTAGACATTGTATTGGGGCAGTTCTGACATGGTTTTTGAAAATTATTTATGAAAAAAAACCTTCGGTCGCATCTTGCTACTTTTCTTTTTAGTTTGAATAATACAAGAACTAATCAAAACTCCGAGTATTTAATATATTTTTTAAATTCTCAATTGTAGGTGCTTGACTAATTCAAGTTCCATAACAAAAGCATAACCAAATTCAATCAAAATATCATAAATAAATTCTCCTGTATTAATAATAATAATTTGAGTACCACGCTAACCACTTTCAATTCGTTTCTAAATCGTAGTTCTCCTTTGAGAGCTGCAAGTTCAAGATCCAGCGCAGCAAGGAGGGCACCGGACGCATCGTGGTCTGGATGCTGGGCATCACCAACAGTTATACGATCGAGGCGTCCTTTGGTGGATCCTCGCTGGGATCACGCAAGGGGACGCACTTCAACACGCAGGTGAGTGTCAGCACAGTTCAATTCCTCAACCCTCATTGTAATCCCCGAAATATGAAAACCTTTACAGGATTACGAGCACATGGGACGAGCATTTTGTGAGACACTTTTGGACTACTGCGATGAGAATCCGAACAAAGTAAAGCGGCACGCAAAGTTGTTTAAACAAATCAAAAAGATAAGAAAACGCGAGAAACGTGAACAGAAAGCATTGAAATTACAGAAAATGGCCGATCAGGGATGTATAATGAACGACAAATTGAAAGTGAAACGTTCTGTGGAGAAAAGTGTCTCCTAGGAAGGTTTCATCAACCCCAAATAACTCTCGATTCACACAACCGAAACACACGCCCTTTTCTGTAAACACAACTTGTGCCAGTTAAATTATTGTTGAATAATAATCGTAAATCGTAAATCGTAAATGTAATCGCTATTGTTGTCGCCAACTCGTCGCCTGCCTGTAATTTGTCTAAAAAGCGCTGCTGTGCTGACCCGGAATTTAAGTCCTGTACCCAGAACCCACAACCATCTGTACATCTTCACACATCCAAGACAATTTTGAAACAATACACAACACAACAGTCACACATCGGCCAGAGCCTCAGGAGTTATATGACAGATATACGTATATCTGGGCATATATCAACTCCATATGTATCAAACCGGGGATTATGTATGTGCGTCATTGAATTGAATTAATTTCAATGCTGTCTATTTGCGCGTATTCGCAGTTTTTCTAATGTTTTTGAGCACCCAATTGCGTGGATAGAGTCGTAAACAGATTTGCTATCCACGTAATGGGTACTTAGCTTTTCTATATATATATATATACATGTACACCTGATCCCGCACAAACGTAACTAGATTGTGACACCCAGCACAGCATCGCCAGGCACTCGAACTCTCTATTCTTATCCTAGTTACTCTAACTATAATTCGCGTTTTTTTCGATGTTGCTAGCCGTAAGCGTAACCGTATTATTATAACCGGAAAATATTATTTTTTGAAATAAATACCATACCTACATATGATTTATGCGGTTGTCTTTTAGTTTAGCATTAAGTTTACCGCTTTTCACGTTCGCTTTTACTGCAGCATTTTGTAAATTGCTTTATTCCAGCACACACTCACATTGATTTTTATTTATTAACCATTTTAATATATTTAATTTTCCTTTTCGCCAGTGTATGATTTTTCACTAATCCAAATGCATTAACATTTACAATAGATTTTAAATTTACTCAAACAACAGGACAGGCTACGATCCAAAATTATCGAAAGACTGATGCGAGAAGGCTCCAGTGCCGACGAGCCATTGAATATCCCTTTGTCGGATTACTCAAGGTGGGTCTATATAATATTTGAGATTTTAATGGATGTTTCAATATAGATCAATTAAGTGTATGGATCTATATGTTTACTTTATTAGCATACTACTAACTTCTACCACTAACCTCTACTAATCCCTTTGCCGAATGTCCTTTTCACGTTTACTAACCCCTTAGCGACGAGGGCAACTGTAGTTCTAGTTCGGATAACGAGGGCAAGCACTCGATAACGGCTTCCGATCTGGAGGGCCCATGTTGTGCCCCAACCAGAGCACCGCCCAGTTCGCCGGAGGTGATCCACGAAATCCGCAAGGTAAGTGGAGATCCATATAGCCCTCTACAAATCTAGCTTAACCCATTTTGTAAGGTTTCTTGGTATACGAAAAAAAGAAGCTCCATATAATATCCAAAATGATATTTAAATTTATATCATACGAACTATAATTGTTCTATATTGGTTTAAATCAAATAGTACAGTGTGAAAAAATCTAACTTTCTTATTCTATTTTTTCACATTAAAAACTGTTATATATATATATATAATATCTGTTTGATATTTTGTCAAGCCATCAAATTTATAATTACTTTATAATTATTCTGTGTAATAATTCTGTGTATACGAGCAATCAGCTAGCTAATATTAAAATATAAGCCTGATAAAATCAAAAAATAACTTCCTAAAATGTCCACAAAATGGGTTAAAACATTTATCTTCCTGCACTGCACTTGCACGCTATTGCCGTACTTCCTCCATTCCGAAATGCAGTTTCGCATGCGACGCATGCGCAAGGTGATGCACGAGCTGGACAGGATCTACTTCACGCCGCTGTTCCAGCGAAAGTTCAAAACGCTGACCACGCTGAAGAGAAGGCGTCACAAGATGGGTGGCAAGGCGACTCCGAATGGGAAACGCCTGCGAGGAGGAGGAGCAGGTAGTGGTGTTGGTGTTGGTAGTAACGCCATCGGCGATGCCACACCCACGCCCACAACTGCCGCCCAAGCAGGAGGATCGCTCATGGAGAACACTACTGCATCTCAACAGCAGAATTCCACCAGGCAGCTTGCCAAAAAGCCGCCGATCAAGAAGGGCCAAACGACTGGAGCTCAGAGTTCGGATAGTACTGATAGCCTGGACTCCTCGCAATCGGAATCCTTCCGGGATCCTGATTGCTCCAGTGCCAGCACTGGAACGTCCAAAGAGGTCAAACGAAAGGTCAAGGCCAACAGCGCAGGCGCAGGCGGTGGGGCCAAGAAAACGGGCAAAAAGAAAAAGTTCATGCCCACGGAAAAGAAGAAGCAGGTGGTAAATCAGAAACTGCACGTTGATCGCAATTTCCGGCTGTGGCTGGCCAACCGACGCATCTACATCTACCGCCGCAAGAAGGTATACGCAATAGCGTGTCTGCCTAAAGAAGTAAAAATCATTATATTTCCAAGCCTTAATTCAATCCTTTTTATCTGATCCTTTTTTATACCTATCAACGGTTTTGATAACTATTTTAGGTAAATTCTTAGAAATTTATACAAGTCATAAAATCAATCAAAAAATATTTATATATTATATAGATTAACCAATATCCAATTAATTGTAGAAGTAACACAACATTCGTGTTGAAAGTAAAAAGAATACTTCATTATATGACAAATGTTGAAATATATCACTACTTATGGCGATATTACTCGTTTAAGACTCACATAAGATATTCAATTTATTCCAAAATTATCAAACGTGTTCAATTTTGTATAAAACCTTTTTCATATGAAGATGATAACCGAAAGATCGAAGACTTCGGAAGATTATATTTATTATTTAATGTAGCACCACCCAGCACGAAAGCAGCACTAAATTGATAACTCCCTTTCCTGCCTCCAATCTCCATCTCTAACCCATTTAGTCCACGCAGGCGCGTCGCACCAAGGTGAGAAGCAAGCCTCCGAAGAAACGTGGCGAGGTGGTGCGCACCACTCTGGACTTGCCCACGACGGATCCTGGCTCGGATCTGCATTTCTCCACCGACGACGAGGAGCACTCGCCGACGACCGGACAAAATGGTTACGGTGCAGTGGCTCCGCTCCGACACACACTGCTCCAGAGCGATCTGCAGCGGCGGTACATCGAGGAGATTGGCGACACTGTGGTCCAGAAGCCAAAGCCGGCCCACATGCCGCCGGAACTGATTGTGACCACGCCCTCGAAGAGCGGCACTCCGGGCGGTGGCAAGAAACTAGATGTCTACAAGTTGACACCGCGCACCGCCCCTGAATTGGACACCGGTGGCCATCACATGGCCATGATGCAACGGCAACCCGGCGGAGCTGGCACGTCCGCCAGACGCACCTACTCGTGGCACAATCTCGATCAACAGGAAATACCCAGTGGCAGCGGTGGTCAGGGCAAGGCTAACTTCTACATGGGTGAATCCAAGCCCGCGATGAAGGCAATGGCCAAGCCGCCGCCCAGAAGGTGGGTATTTTTGAAATCCTATAAAGTAATCCAAAACTATCGAATATAACTAATAATTGTGGATTGCTTGCGTTATTTCAGGAGTGTCCCGAGCAACTTCATCCCCCAGAGGCATGGCAATGTGCAAACAGCAGATGACCTACAGCTCAAGCTCTCACTGAAGAAAAAAGTATGGACAGGAGCGCATGGGGATGCGGATGGACGTCCACTGGCCTGGTACAAGGGTCACTCGATAGCAGGATCTCAAATGGCCAACACTGCGACGGCCATACGAAGTGCAGGCGGCGGTGGAGGAGGAGGAGGTGGTGCTGCAGGAGCAGGAGGTGGAGTAGGAGCAGGTGGAAGTGGCCATAACCGAGCCATGTTCACAACCAATGGCAGGGAGGCGCCAGCTGCATCCGGTGGTATCGCAATTGGCGTGCCACCCTCTTTTATCGGAGCACCACGCAGGCCGAGGAAACTGGAGCAAGTGGATCTGTTCAAGTAAGTGATCGGAGATTATTATTCTTTAACAATAATCGACTAATTGAGAATAAAGATCGTGATTATTTTCTAAACTTAAGAAAGATTTAAAAAAAAATTAAAGAGCATTATGAAACATATCCCATGAGTTGAGTACAAACATTTTTGTGATGTATTCCATCAGCATCACAGTTCAGTTAGGTCAAACATAGATCACAATATCATTAAGATGTCATAAAACAATCAAAATAAGAATGTTCAGAAGATATTTCCAATTCATAAGAGTCAAGGGAGTCTTTGAACTATCAAAATGATAGTAATATTCATTAGCGTGGGAAATTTAAAGTGGTCCCCACTTTTTTATGAAATATTTCAATGTTTTGTCCCGAGATCTAGCTATTCCCTGTTCAGATTAAATTCCTAACTTGTCTTTCTTTTGCAGTGCCTGTTCCCAGAAGCTGCTCCTGTGGCAGCAACAGGAAGAGCACAAGCGTTCCCAGCCGCAGCCGGCGCAGCGCTTAATGAAGGTGGAGGACTCGCAGCAACAGCCGCCACATTCGAGGGATCGGGATCGAGAACGCGATCGGGAGCAGCATGCTTTTAAGCCCTTGCACATGGCAAAGAAGTCGGCGGGGACGAGCCAGAGCAAAGTCATCCAGGCTTTGGTGGCAGGCGACTCCGGCGGGAAGGTAAAGCGCAGGTCCAGCAGCATGATGAAGATTGCGGAAACCACGCAGCTGGTGACACGATTCGCTCGGAGTCGCAACAGTGCCGGTGGATCCGCAGTGCAGCAGCAACTGCAGCAGCAACAGATGCACCAGCAGCACCAGCGGATGATGTTCAAGGGTCAGGTTGGAGCCGGATCCATGAGCGGTCGAATGCACTCCGCCGGGGTCATGGGTCACATGCAAAGCAATGGCGGCGGAGGTCGTGCTCCGAACAAATTCAAGACCGGCGGCCTGGTCATCACGGCCGTGCAACAGCCAACCAATATGCCAGGTGGCAGCTCACGCCGGATGAGGAATGCGGCCGGATTGCAGACCAAAAGCAGCACGGGCGCCTTGGGATCATCCTCCGGGCAAATGCAGTACCAGAGAAGCAATGGCAATGTCCAGGCCAACAAATCCTCAACTGGAATCTCGCTGGACACCGTTAATCTAGTCCGGAAGGTGAAGACCAAGCTGAAGAAGCGCAAATCCCGCACATTATCCAATGGAGCACCGAAACAGTAGGGTTCTCCAGATCCTCCTCCGTATTACGCAGAGATTCCATGCCACAGATCCATGCAATATCCTTCCAAGCAAATGGGGAAAACCCCATTTTTCGTTCCAAATTTTAGTCGAATTCCGATCCCCTACCATCTTCAAGATTGTTACACAAAAAACGATAAGGAAATGATTAGCAAAATTAACTAAATAATTCATATCTCTCTATAGACATGTGCCTATGTAATCCCAATCTCTGTACCTACAGTTAATCCCTAAAATAATGTTGAAAGTCCTAGTGTGTGTATGTTGTTTTTTTTTCGCTGGAAGTTTTTCTATTGAGATTTGCAATAAAACAAACAAAAATGTAAAAACAAATGCGTGAAGTGTGTGTGTGCGGTAATTGAGGGGGCTGGTTCACAAAATGGTAAATAAATAATGCTTGACCGCTGACCGAAAAATCAATTACGCACATGTCCGGCAATCAGAGGCCCCAAATTGGAAAGGAATTCCGGGCTGCAGGACGCAAGAAAATCCTTGCCTACGTACCTCCGGCAAATCAACTGGCGTCCCTCGATCCTTCGCACAATTCACGCCGCGGCTCCTCAGTCACTTTACCGCTCGAAAACCACCGAAAAGCTTAAACTGGCGAAAGGTAAACAAATTATTGCCCAATTCCAAGAGTGACCTCTAGTGATGGTAGTGCCTAACGATCAATCGAAAGCTTTCGATAGTGCGGGTGGCGGTTGTTATCGATAGCGAACAATCGTTAAGGCTTGTAAATTCAAAAGTGGTTTTTTGTAAACCAAATTAATTTTGTTTACAATTTATTCAACAAATTTAAACATCTCAAATTGAAAAAGGAAATTTTATGCTTTACAAAATATGATAAGGTAATGATATAGTTAACGCAATAGATATACTTAATTTCTTTTAATATACATGGAGTAGTAAATCAATTTCGACAGTAACGTATACGTAATATTAATTTAAATTGGAATAATAAATTAGTAGTTATCTAGATACGTGTATGTATATCTGTTATATTATATATATATTAATACATGGAATTTATCAGCAATGTAATAAAATAATAAATAAAATCATTTGTGTTAAATTAGTAACATTAAAACTTCAACATTTTAATTACCTGAAGCCACAAAAATGGAAAATCTGCCAAAAAATTTAACATTTTCCAGCTTTGACCAGTAAAAGCTTAAAAAATGGATTCTGTTTTGGGATCAATGCGACAAAAATCAAAGGTTGAATCGAATTTGTAAACTGGAATAATAAATCAATCAAAGTGCCCCATACCGCCCATTGCTATTGGTACATTCGAGTGATTTATATTGTGGAATGCAGCGCCCTAGGCGACATTGTTTATTGGATTTTATTTATTTGTTATTTACCCAAGCCATTATGCTAGATTAAACTACGTACACATGCATGCGGGACGTGTGTCTTTCCGTGTGTGTGGTGTGTGTATACTGTATACTGGTTAAGTGTTGTGTCCTGGTGGCCTTCCTCCTCCTTATCATCATCATCATCCTGACAATCCTCATACCCCTCCTTATCATGCTCATAATATTTTTTCCTGCGGGCGGGGAAGCAGCATTGATTTAACTAAATCTAGATGTCTACGAATAAATAGAGTAAACGCAAGGCTAAAACGAGAAAACGAAACGCTAAAATTCCGCGAAATTCAACTGAGACCGGCTCTAAACATTGACGGCATTCTGTAGAGCTGTCTTGTCATCCACGATGATGTTGGCCGCCGTGGTGGTCGGATTGGAGCTGAGCAGCTGCTTGGTGGACGAGCTGGAGGAGTAGCTGTCGCTGGAGCTGCGCGTAGAGGCCGAGTTTCCGCTGATCGGGCTGTCCAACATGTCTGTATAAGGAGAATAAATTGCTTGTTAATCCAAACACTATTATTGAACGGAATAACAACCAACCTGGAAGGGAGCTCACGTTGTTTGACTTTAAATCCACGACCGTAGTCACCGAACCGGAGCCCACCATGTTGCCCACCGAGGTGGACTTCTTGTGCAGGTTCTTCTTCGCCCCACTGCTGAAGCCAACGACGACAGGTCCCACTCCAGTTGCTCCGCCTACTGATCCTGCACTCCTTCCCACTCCCAAGCCGCCATTTCCGCAACTTATCGCGCCCAGGGGATCACCGCTTTTGGCTCGCTCCGTGGGGCACAGTGGGCTCAATATCGAGTTCTGAGTATCCTCCGGCGTGTAGTAGTCCGAGTCCTCGGCCGTGGCTTCGGAGGGCGAAGGAGCCCCGCCTCCGCTAAGTTCTGGCCTCGGTTTGGTGCGCTTCAGCGAGGAGCCCTTTTTGAGGCTGGACTCCTCGGTCGGTCCATCACCACCGCCACTCTTATCCACATCATCCGCCTCCAGGCAGGCGACCACTTGCTTCAGGGATTTGCTAGACATGTTCTTGCTCTTGCTGCCGGGCGAAAGAAGCGGCGATAGCTTCTCGTTCTCGCTGTCCACATCGTCATCGGTGCCTGCGGAACCATCGCCACCGGACCCAGCCGTGGATCTGGGATACTTTCGCTCATTGACGATCTGCAGTTTGTCCTGTTTCGGTTCCGGCGAAGTGGATACCCCCAATGTTGGCGAAGTACAGGTGGCCGTGCTGGACTTCTTTGGATCGCTTTCGATCTCCACGGAGTGTGTGGATGAGCCGTTGCCGCCACCGCCGCCGCCAGATTGGTTTGTAATGGTGCCCACCTCACTGGTCGACGTGCAAGTCGAGGCGTTCTTTTTGATCTTGGGCCGTCGCTGGCTGCTGGATTTGATGGGCGAAGTGGCCTTGATGTCGGCACTGGTCATTGTCGAAGCGGCCACTGTGGCGGCGGAGTCTGTGATGTCGTGATCGCTGGTCCTGAATGGGAGAAGGTTAAACAAGAGATAAGGATTGTTTCCGACTTGAAGGAAGACAATAACTCACCTGGTCCTGGCCACATACTGCGGTGGTCCATTGAGCGCCTCGATTAGCGAGACGGGAATGTAGCCCGGCGGCACATCCACCGGCGCCGGCTCCCCGGCCGTCGATGTGGGAGTGTTTTGGTGGAGCACATGCGTGCTAATCCCCTTCTGGACAGCCCGGATCTGGAGCAATGCCCGAAACGGTGCCCGGCAGATGGGGCAGTTGTTTGCCTGGTAGCGCAGTGAATCCGCACACGAATTGCACAAACAGAGATGACGACAGGGCAGTATCAGCGTGTCTCTGGTCTCACTCATGCAGATGACACACTCGCTACCATGATCGTCGATCTCCTCGTCGAGGGATGTCTTATTCACCGCCTTGTTCTCGATGCCATAGATCTCTTGCAGCAGATAGCACAGACCATCCACGAAGATCTTTTGCTTGAGGGCACGCAGTACATAGCTACCGTTCTCCGGATGGTGGTCGATCACACAGATGGTGGTGTGCGACTGCCGGCACTCGTCGCTGCCCTCCTCCACCACACAGTGGATGGCCACCGGATACTGTTCCCGGCCGGGGCTGTAGCCCAGTTCGTCTTCGGGCATCTGCTGCGGATTGAAGACGTGCCCTGGCTGCGAGAAACACTGGTTGATGCCCTTCTCGTAGTGGTAGGTCTCCGAGGTAAGACCCTCGCGCGGCACCAGCGTCACGCCGCTGGGACTGACGTCCTCCGAGCAAAAGTAGTAGATGGTAATGGCGCACTTGGCGTCCGAGTCGAACGTGAACTCGATGTTGTAGGAGCAGGGCGGCGGTGGCGGCGCCATATCGGCATCCCCGCCACCCAGGCCCATGGAGCAGAGCACATTGCCGTCCACATCCTCGATGGTCACATTGGACTTCTCCTTGTCCATCTCCAGATCCCGGTCTATTTCCTTCATCTTTGGCTTGTCCAGTACGCCACTCATCTTCTTGTCATTCAGGGTCTTAACGAAACGCACCGACTCCTTGCGAATGTTGACCAGACTTTTCAGGGTCTTTGTCGGTTCGTTGGCTTGCGGCGGGGGATACGGGAAGGCCGTGGGTCGATTGCCCAGGAAATTGAGATCTGCGTTCTCTCCGAACAAATACGATTCCGGTTGGGGCGTGTCGAAGCGCTCTCCGCCCATGATGAAGTGGGTGCCAAAGAAGTTGCCCATTCTAGGTGGGTATTTGTACGCATTGTTCGTGCTGGGATCCGCCTCCTCGACCGCCGCGTTCTGCCTGCTCACAAAGTTCCCCATTTGGTAAGGGTAAATGCTTCAGATCCGATCCAATACAGCTAATGCTTTTCTCTTTTCTCTGGTTTATTATTATCTATTTTTTTTCCTTTCTTTTAGAGCTGCGAAACAATCGACGGTTCTCGTACCGATATCGATATTACCGATAGTAAATATGAAGTGGTTAACCAAAAAATCAATGTATCGATGGTTTTAACGGTATTAAAGTTTAAGTTAACGGTACTTTACTGTTAAACTTTTCTTATTTCGAGCATATTAGATTTATAAATAAACTGTTATCTTTAAATTAACCACATTATAAAGAATGTTATGCTTGTGATAGCGTCCCAAATATCTTCTTTGAGGCAATATTCAAATTTTTGTCCATGTTTATTTTTGGCAAAGTTATCTACAAGTTATGCAGTTCGAGCCAATACGCGAACGTTATTTATTAAATCGCAGGTTTAAGAACAGTATAAATTAAACAAAATTAAAACTTAAAATTTATATATAGCATAAATCGTCATAAAAACATATTGATCCACTTAAATGTATTAGGTATTTCATAAAATGTACCTAGGTAGCGTTGCCAGACATCTCGAGCCAGCATTGCCAACGAACGCAACGGCAGCGTTGCCAACAATTTCAAGGCAACAACAAACGGCGCCAAAATAGCGTAGGCAAACTGGGAAAGTGCGAAAACCACGGCAATTCGCAGTAAAACACGGAGCAACACACACCGCCACGATGAGCATGAGCATGGACGAGTCCATCTGCGCGTACTTCGTGAACAACCTGAAGCCGGGCGACGGTGGCGTCCAGGAAGCCGACACCCTGGAGCAATTCGAGGCGTCGCTGGAACTTCTGGGCCAGCAGCTGGCCGAGACCCAAATCCGGCAGATAAAGCCCAGCGAGGGCTATCCCCTGATAGCCGCTGGCAACCTGACCAAAAAGGATGTCTTCGTGCTGGCCCAATTCGATGGTGACTTCTTCGAGCAATTGCAGCAGACGCGTGCCCTTATCTTGGGGCCACCCTGCTTGATTACCTGTCTGCGGCGCGACGAACCCATTCCGCTGGGCAGCAGTGCCATCTACACCACGGCCATGCGTGATGTACAGGTCTCGGCCACGGGTATAACGCCCCAAAAGAAGGAGGAGCTGAGCAGGCTCATTCACTGGATGGGCGGCACATATTTCCAGAGTTTCGGCCACCGCACCACCCATCTCATATCGAACACCATCAAGTCCAGCAAATACGAGCAGGCCACGCTGAACGGGGTACCCGTAATGCACGTCGACTGGGTGCAGTACGTCTGGGACCAGAGTCGCCGCAGCCAGCGCGAGGGCATTCGTGCAACGGATCCCGATTTCGACAAATACCGCCTGCCAATTTTCTTTGGGGCCAACATCACATGCAGCGGCCTGGATACGGCGCGCAAGGATCAGGTGATGCAGTTGGTCAATGAGAATGGCGGAATCTACCATCGCGCCTTCCGCTCCCAGGTAGTGGACATCGTCATCACCGAGCAAACGAAGACGGATACCGATAAGTACAAGGCGGCCGTACGCTACAAGAAGGATGTCCTGCTGCCGGAGTGGATCTTCGATAGCTCCAATCGCGGCTACGCCTTGCCCACCAAGGACTACGAGATACGGCCCGGCAAGAAGGCCTCCACGCCCAACAAGAGCAATCGTTTGTCTGCGCATCCCGCAGCGGATCAGACCCAACTCTCGGATCTCTCCAGGATCAGCTTTGTCTCCGGCTCGCGACGCATGGGCAACGATCTGACCACCGTCAACGAATCGATAAGCAGTCTGGGCAGCAACTCGCCCGCCAAGGATCTGCTCAAGCAGGCCACCAGCAGTGGCAGAAACTATCAACAGGTGCTGGCCGAGATTTGTCCGCGGCAGGCCAAGAAGGCGGGATCCTTTCTGGATGGCTGCTGTGTGTACTTGAGTGGCTTCCGGTCGGAGGAGCGGGAGAAGCTCAACAGGGTGCTTAATACGGGCGGAGCCACCCGCTACGATGAGGCCAACGAGGGCATCTCCCACATCATTGTAGGCCAACTGGATGACGGCGAGTACCGACAGTGGCAGCGCGACGGTCTCATGGGCTCGGTTCATGTGGTGCGCCTGGATTGGTTGCTGGAGAGCATTCGGGCTGGCCGCCTGGTCAGTGAGCTAGTGCATCGAGTGTCGCTGCCCCAGAATCGCGAACCCGACGTCGCCTCGCCTGCCAGCAAGCGAACCCTGCGCTCCATGAACCACAGCTTCAAGCAGCCGACGTTGCCCATCAAAAAGAAGCTTTTCGACCAGGAACCAGACCCGGTACAGCAGCAGCAAGAGGAGGAGCAGAATCATCATCTACTAGATCAGTACTCCCAGGATCAGGGAGCAGTGGCACAACTGCCGCCGGCGGATGTCAGTCTCCTCCACCCTGCGGCCAGTTCCACTCAAATGGAAATACACCAGCGAAATTCTGTGGCCAATGCCAATCCTGCCACAACATTGCCTTTGCCCGATCTCAGTGCCAGCACCCTGGCCATTGATTACGACAAACTGGACTACTTTACGGGTCTTTCCGTTTATGTGCACAAGGAGTGCTTCAATGCGGAGTTCTACAACCAAATGCTGACCGAGTGTGAGACTGCCCAGGGTCTGTTGGTGCCCTCGAGCTTCGCGGATGAAGTGGACTTTGCCATCGTTAGCTTCGAGGTGGCCTTCGACACAAAGGAACTGCCTGTCAAGGCTCGCCATGTCGTCACTGAGCTGTTTCTGGAAAGCTGCATGAAGAAGAATGAGCTGCTGCCATTGGAATATTACCACAAACACGTGCCTGCCACTGCACTTCGTAAGCCGCTTAAAGGGATGACCATTGTGGTCTCCATCTATGCCGGATTGGAGCGGGATTTTATTAATGCAACAGCAGAGCTTCTGGGCGCCTCCGTCAATAAGACATTCATCAAGAAGGAGAAACCTTTGCTGGTATGTCCCAGTGCCGAGGGTTCCAAGTACGAAGGTGCTATCAAATGGCACTATCCCGTGGTCACTTCCGAGTGGTTGGTGCAGTGCGCCCGCACTGGCCAAAAGCTGCCCTACGTGGGACATTTGGTGGGCAAGAGTCCTGAGGATTTTCCCATATCTCCACGTTTACGGGAGAACAATACAAGAACGCCAAGAAGACAGGAGGAAGCTACATTGGTTACGGCAACAGAGGTCACCATGGAGGAGGAGGAGAACCAGCCGGAGGCGCCTGTCACACCTGTTGCCGCCGTTGCACCCCCCGAACTAACGCCCTTGCGCAACAAAAGGGTTTCCGAGCTGGCCGGAATTCCTGGGGGCAGCGCTCGCCATCGGAGCAGTAGCTCCACATCCTCTCCCGATTCTCCGTGCACGCCACTTAGCCAGGTGGGTGCCCAAAACTACAACCTGGACTTCCTAGAGCAGTTTGTCCAGCGCTTGGATACGGATGAGGGCAAGGATTGTGTGCGCCAGATCATCCGTGAGATGCGGGAGAACCAAACTCCGGAGCTGGAACGCATTCGGCGACAGGCCTGCACACCCGTCAGTCGCAAGCATCCACGGCCAGCGCCGGGTATCCCAGATTTCTGTCTCACTCCAGAGTTCCAGCAGCGGATGGCTGATGATTTCGAACGGCGCTGGCGCCTGCCAACCCAGAAAATTAAGCCAGACACTCCGCTGGCCGTAGTCAGGCAGCGAATAATGCGGATCACATGCGAAACGTTGGGCATCGAGTACGATGATGTTGAGGCGCCGGAGGAGGAGGAACCAACCACGCAAAAGAAGAAGCCACCGACCCGAACTCAAGCCACCAAACTCAACTTTGATAGATCACCGAAAACGCCCAAGCTATCGGTGGGTAAGAAGACGCCTCTCAGAGTCTCCATGGGCTCACCCCGCAACGCCTCAACTCTATCCCCCTTCGTGCCCAATACACAGAGTCCAGCAGAAGCAGCAGCAGTTCCACGGCAATCAGAGGAAGCAACTGTGAGCAACGACGAAGGGCAAAGCACCATTGACTTCGACAAGATCAGTTTCGAGGAGTCCGCAGCTCCCATTGTGGCGCCAGATGTCAAACAGATCACGGACTACCTAAAGAACTGCGAGACGCGAAGAAACAGCCTGAAACGCAGCCACGACAGCGATATGGAATGCGTCGAGAGCGAGGTGCAATATGTGCAGCCCTTTGAATCAGAAGGCTTCGCCCTGGGCACCGAGGACATGGTCGACTGGCGCGATCCGGCGGAATTTAATGCGGCCAAGAGAAGATCCTCGGGCGGATCACCCAAGATGCAGCATAGGGGCACGCCCTGCTTTAGCATCTCGTGCGGCGACGATGATGAAAAGCGAACGGAGCTAATCGACCGGATCACCCAAATGGGCGGCCAGATGTGCGAGAATCTGGTGAACTACGATGATGCCTGCACCCACTTGCTGTGCGAGCGTCCGAATCGCGGCGAGAAGATGCTGGCCTGCATTGCGGCAGGGAAATGGATCCTGAACCTTCAGTACATCGAACAGTGTCATGCGCGAGGGCACTTTCTGGACGAAGCCCTATACGAATGGGGCAATCCGAAGGCTCTTAATTTGCCGATCCTAGCGCCGGAGGAGGAGCCCATTGCAGCCGCCGTCCATCGTTGGCGCACCGAGCTGGGTGCGCGCGGTGGTGGCGCCTTCTCCGAACACCGTGTGATCCTCAGCTTGCACGAGCGGAGTGGGGTGCCCATCAGAAATGTATTGCGTGCGGGTGGAGCCTGCATCCTGGAACCGAATTCACCGTTTTCCACAGATCCTGTGGCTTCCACAGCCACCCATTGCTTCGTGGATGCGAAGAAGGCGCCGCTGTCGTCCAGGGATATGGCCTATCTCATCCAGTGCGGTGTGCGCGTGCTTAGCCAGATGTCCATCAACGCCTATTTGATGAACGGCAGGGAAGCCGATCTAGGGAAGTACGAGCTCAAGTAAATGGACGCTCTTAAACTAATCCAAATTCATCACCTTTTTTTTGTATTTTATTGTTCCTGTTTGAAATTGAAATTTGTAGTTTATATAGGCTATAACTGTTTAAATTTAAATTAGTTTATTGTCATTATTTCTAATTATAATTTTGAATTTTTTATTTTCCATTTCAAATCAATTTGTTTGAAAAAGTTTGGTATTTCTCCAAGAATTGTTTATAATCTCTATATGTACCAAAATGAAAGCATTAATGGGCTTAAAAGCAAACGAACTGAAAATGCTACTGGAATTTGTATTTATTATTTCTTTTTTCGAAGCAGAAATATATTTAATATTTTTTGTTATTTCATTTCAATTTTTGTATTTAATAAATGAAACTATAAGCTAAAACCCTAAGCGAATCGTTTATAATACTGCTATTATAGTCTCCAAAATAGTGCTACCTTTGCATTTTTAGGGAATTTAGCCACAAGTCTTTATAGGTATACCATTTCCAAATTGGATTTCTGTGAGAAAAGTTATGTCCTTAAATGAGCAGGTTTTAGCTAACTTTTTCGCAAAGCCATTTTCCGAAAATTTCAAATGACTAAAAATCTATCAGAAATTACAAAAAAGTTGAGAACACAGTTATTTAGAGAATTAAAACACAAATATTTAAAAGTATGCCATTTCGAAATCGGAAGTCGGTGAGAAAAGTTATGGCCTGAGAAGTGCAGGTTTTAGGTGACTTTTCAGTAAAGCCATTTTTTGAAAATTTGGAAAGGGGCAACATCATTGCAAATGACGAAAAATCGACCAAAAAATAAAAAATAAACTAAAAATACAGTTTTTTAGAGAATTAAACCACAATCATTTAGATATATGCCACTTTAAAATCGGATGTCTGTACGAAAAGTTATGGCCTGAGAAGTGCAGGTTTTAGGTCACTTTTCTGCAAAGCCAATTTTCGAAAATTTGGAAAGAGGTAACATCATGGCAAATGACGAAAAATCGACGAAAAAATAAAAAATAAACTAAAAATACAGTTTTTTAGAGAATTAAACCACAATCATTTAGAGATATGCTACTTTAAAATCGGATGTCTGTACGAAAAGTTATGGGCTTAGAAGTGCAGGTTTTAGGTGACTTTTCAGTAAAGCCATTTTTTGAAAATTTGGAAAGAGGTAACATCATTGCAAATGACGAAAAATCGTCGAAAAAATAAAAAATAAACTAAAAATACAGTTTTTTAGAGAATTAAACCACAATCATTTAGAGATATGCCACTTTAAAATCGGATGACTATAAGAAAAGTTATGGCCTGAGAAGTGCAGGTTTTAGATCACTTTTCTGCAAAGCCAATTTTCGAAAATTTGGAAAGGGGTAACATCATTGCAAATGACGAAAAATCGACCAAAAAATAAAAAATAAACTAAAAATACAGTTTTTTAGAGAATTAAACCACAATCATTTAGATATATGACACTTTAAAATCGGATGTCCGTACGAAAAGTTATGGCCTGAGAAGTGCAGGTTTTAGGTGACTTTTCTGCAAAACCAATTTTCGAAATTTTGGAAAGAGGTAACATCATTGCAAATGACGAAAAATCGACCAAAAAATAAAAAATAAACTAAAAATACAGCTTTTTAGAGAATTAAACCACAATCATTTAGAGATATGCCACTTTAAAATCGGATGTCTGTACGAAAAGTTATGGGCTTAGAAGTGCAGGTTTTAGGTGACTTTTCAGTAAAGCCATTTTTTGAAAATTTGGAAAGGGGCAACATCATTGCAAATGACGAAAAATCGACCAAAAAATAAAAAATAAACTAAAAATACAGTTTTTTAGAGAATTAAACCACAATCATTTAGATATATGACACTTTAAAATCGGATGTCCGTACGAAAAGTTATGGCCTGAGAAGTGCAGGTTTTAGGTCACTTTTCTGCAAAACCAATTTTCGAAATTTTGGAAAGAGGTAACATCATTGCAAATGACGAAAAATCGACCAAAAAATAAAAAATAAACTAAAAATACAGCTTTTTAGAGAATTAAACCACAATCATTTAGAGATATGCCACTTTAAAATCGGATGTCTGTACGAAAAGTTATGGGCTTAGAAGTGCAGGTTTTAGGTGACTTTTCAGTAAAGCCACATTTGAAAATTTGGAAAGGGGTAACATCATTGCAAATGACGAAAAATCGACGAAAAAATAAAAAATAAACTAAAAATACAGTTTTTTAGAGAATTAAACCACAATCATTTAGAGATATGCCACTTTAAAATCGGATGTCTGTACGAAAAGTTATGGGCTTAGAAGTGCAGGTTTTAGGTGACTTTTCAGTAAAGCCATTTTTCGAAAATTTGGAAAGGGGTTACATTATTAAAATGATGAAAAATCGACCCCAAAATACAAACCAAGTTGAAAACACTGATTTTTAGAGAATTTAACCACAATCATTTAGAAGTATGCCGTTAGTAAATCGGATGTCTGTAAGAAAAGTAATGGGCTTAGAAGTGCAAGCCGTTTTTTTTTAATTTTCAAATGGGTTCTTCATAAAAATGAAAACAAAATTACAAACCAAGTTTTGAACACAGATTTTTAGAGAATTTAACCACAAGTCTTTATATATACCATTTCAATCGGATTTCTGTAAGGAAAATTATGGCTTTGAAAGTGCAGGCTTGAGGTCAATTCACTGCAAAGCTATTTTTGAAAAATATTTTTCCAATAGTAAAATTGTAAATTAATTTTAATATTTTTCCTATTAATATAACGCCGTATGTGCAGGAATATATGGAATAATTAGGGCCCACCTAAGTTCAACGACAATTAATGTGCAACTGTATTGTACTTTTCATTTATTTAACGTATATATATATTGTATGTGGGTGTGTGTGGGTGTTTGTATATAATATAGCATGTATGTATGTATAATTTCACTTAGCTTCTGTTCTGTTTCTGTCTCAGTTGTTTAGTAATTATGGTATAGCAGTACTTTATGTTTGATTCATATGGTTCACATGTATACATATATAATTTTTTACAATCCATGCAGTTTGTTCTGTTCTGTGTGGTATTCTTTATAAAATTCCATATTATATAACTATAGGTATATAATTGTCTGTGTTTGTGGGTGTGTTTTTAGTGGAATCGCATGCTCTAGGCTACAAATTCATCAAAAATAGATAGTACACAAAAATCGATCATCTGCATCGATTTATGATTTATAGTTGATAATTTTCTCCATCTGTTTTCCGTTTGTTGCTTGTTTCTTCTTTTAAGCCGCAATTGGCAGACTGGCGGCATTTTACATTTTAAAATTACAGTTCTATATATTAATAATTATTTATATATATATACGGTTTATGTTGATTTAATTTTTTTTTAGCATTTCAATTTGTTCAATGTTGGTTTTGTTTTTATATCGCAGCGATAATTTGTTTAGTTTTTTGTTAGGAGGCAATTGTTTCAACTTAACGAAAATGGAAAGTCTGAAGCTCGCTTCGCTTCTCCTTATTTTGGATAAACGCGTATTGAATCGACACAAAAACAAGATTTACACAATCGTTATAATAATAATTATAATAGTGGAACTTGGAGCTTAGCAATTAAAAAATCTCTTTGCTGGGTGTTGAGATTCCCAGTGGCTGTTCGTAGTCGCTGGCCGAAACGGTTGCGGATACGGATGCTGATGCAGATTCGGAAGCCTTCTTCTCCTTGCGATGAGATTTCTCCTTTTTATGCTTCTTCTTGTGCGCTTTGGACGCCACCTGCTCATCTTCCTCCACCACATCGACGATGCTGCTGCCGATGGCAGTGGCCGATGCTTCGGTCGCTGCTTCTCGCGACTTCTCCTTGTTCTTCTTTTTTTTATGATGCTTGGCGGCATCTGGAAGGACGTTTGAAGTATTGTTGTTTTCGTTACTGTTGCTGGGGGCGGAGGTGTGGCTGGGACTGGGAGTGGGCGTGTCAGCATCGATGAGATCGATTACCGGCTGGGCAGCAGCGTCCTTGCGCTCCCGCTTGCCCTCCCGGTGGTGCTCCCGTTTCCCCTTCCTGTCCTTGTCCTTATCCTTTTTGCGGTCCTTCTTGGAGTTGCTACTGCTGCCGGCCGACTCCGCCGGCACCTTGAGATTCTCTTTACCCGCCGCTGACTTCTTGGACGAAGACCTTACCGCGGGCGCCTCGAATTCCGTTCTGTGGAATGATTAAAACAATACATGAAATAATGCAATATCATAAAAAGACTATTCGACCACTTACATGTCCAGTTCAATGTCCAGAGCTCTATGCGGATCATTTGGATCGTATTTGCCATCCTTATCCTCGCTGTCCGACATGGAGACACCCTCGGGCATGTCCAGCGTGGTGTTCACAATGTGCAAGGGTTTCGGTTCTGCAAAGTAAACAAAATAAAGGTGATCCGATCCTTAGGTGGGAATATAGATCACTCGAAACTTACCACCTTCCGATTCGGAGCTACTGTTGTATGCCACTTTGTTCTTAGCCTTTTTGCTCTTCTTGCCCTTTTTATGCTTTTTCTTGCCATCCTTGCCGCCCTGAGCCGCCGCTTGCTGCTCCTGCAGATATTTGTCCGATCGTTTGGTGACTGCAGATGGGAATGTTCATTAGTTAGGTGGACATATAAAGCTAGTTTTAAAACTCACTGCCCACACGCAGAGCGGCCACGCCCTCCATATCCAGCGGCAGCTCCGTGATGGGTATGTCGTCAATATTGTCATATTGATCCGCATTCGCCGAGGCCCCGCTCGCTGCTGGCGTGGACTTGAGGTAGTGGGGATTGTTCGACTGCTCCATTAGGCGGGCCATCCGCTGCCGCTCCAGCTGCTCGGGCGTCAGCTCCAGACTCTGGCGCCGCTTTCCGCCGCTACCTCCACTACCCTCCACGCCCGTTCCGCCTTGAGAGGCGCTAACGAAGAGCTCGTCCTTGTCGTGCTCCGAGGACGAACTGCTCGCCGCATCCTCCGGCGGTGGTGCATTGATCCACTCGTCCAGATCGAGGCCATCCGGCAGGGGCACCTTCCGTTGCGCCTTGGGCGCCACCGGAATTAGCTCGCCTGCGAATAGTAGCGTCATCTCCTGGACAATCTCAATGGCCAGCGGCGGAATGCCGCCCTCCGTCGTCGTGTCCAGGGCGATGGCATCGTTCGTCGTGGACAGCTGGTTGCGCAGCATCTCGATCAGCATGCAAGCGGAGTTGGCTCTTTCTTGCACCTCAATGTCGCTGGAACCATTAAAGTGTTGCAACTTATCCAGCACATGGTCGCAAAG